AATGTTTCTAAATTTCTTAACAAATAAACAATGCCATAAGGGCTTTGTTACACTAACTTTAACCCTTACAATCAGATGCTTAAATTAAAGTTTCAGTTCTTTTTTAACAAATGATTGTTGTTTGAGTAAAGAATATAAAAATACCCCTTGTAAATGTTTCCAAGTCATTTGTAACTTTCTTCAAAGCACTTGTAGGGGTAACTTGTTTGGTTTCAGGTCTTACAGTTGGTGGAGGAATCTGATCTGCAGGTGAATCTGAGTTTTCATTCCAACCCAAACCACTTTCATAATGGATCCCTTCTCTATTTTCTAGCTGCCTGACTTTAGAACTTCTCTTCTCTCTGTGCTCCCTTCTCTTCTTTTTGTACTCCCTGGTCTTTGACCCAGCACTAAGCCTGGATCTCTTTCTGTCTAATCTTTCTGCACACACCTTGCAATGTGCACCTGGAGATAACTGAATGTCACTCAATGTCTAGAATATAACAAAGGTACACGTAACACAAATTGGAAACAGTTTTGCTTTAGATGTATTTTATCATATATATATATTCGGTGAAACAAACAATTGTAAAAATAGATCGTGTCAAATTGTTAAAATATTATTGGTTAGGATTAAAGGTAAAGTTGTCAAGTGAAGTACCATATAAATAAGTGCAAATTCCAGTCTAGGGGTCAACCTGGTTTCTGTGGTACAAACCCCTGAGAGGCTATAAATACATACATGTACAGTACATATTACCCCTTCAAAGACATACCTGTTCATCAAACAAGGTACCCACAAATCCTGGCACCATTTTTACCATTACATGTTTTTTTTAATATAACATGAGGTTGAAAATAAGGATAAATTGTTATTATGCCAACTACCAGACCACCCATCTACTTTAAATGAGGTAAAAGTGGGGGTACTCAAGTTTCAGAGAGATGGGAGAGACTAGTAAACCAAATCTATTTTTCTTAAACTAGGTACAACAGTACCTACCTCTGGAACATAAGAATACCCAAGATTCTTTTGGCTGATGGCACAAGCCACTCTGTAGGCGTTGCTCTTGCTTGCCCCATAGTGGCGGATTATAGGAGCCTTGCTTCCTACAGAGTTGTTCTGTGACTCATTTGCCTGGCTTGAGCCAAGTGGGGCAAGTTTCTCAGCATTTTTGGCAAAGACCTCAACTACTACTTCAAGGTCTTTCTGAAGCTTTGCATCTTGGAGATCATTGGCATACAGGAGTGATTTGTGCGTGTAAGTAGCTGGGTCTTTGAGGAAGCCACACCAAGATAGGTCAGAGTTTTCATGTTTTGCAAAAGCATGAGGGACAAATGCTCTTAGGTTTTTCTGAAGCCCTTGAACATTACCCTTGTTTTGGGACAATGCATAGCCAAAACATGTCAACAAGTAGTTAATAACTTTAATACTGAGGATACCTTTGTAATGCTTCTGTAGGGTATACAGAGAGGTTCCAAACGACCTTTTAGCATCCACTATGTCTGACCACTTTTCAACATCATGTGTCACACTCTCTCTGACCTTTTTTATGGTGCTTGAGTCCCCATCCCCCACGAGTATGTTAACTTGACCATGGTGTTGTGATGCAGACACTGTCACCTCTGCAGCAACATCTGGCTCCATTGCTTTGGAGGACCCTGTCCAGTTCTTTTGACCATCATGTTTTCTTGGAACACTGCCATTTCTAACTGCTGCCTTGCAAACTGTACAATGCTTTGTCCTTGTACTGTACCCTAAAACTTTGCCTGTATGAAGTCCAATGAGGGAACCAACTCCTGTGACAAATGCAAAATTTTATATGACACATGTAGCTTTTTTAATGGTTAATTTAGCTTTAGGAAAAGTTCCAAGGCAGGCATTTTTGGCCAAATTCCCTTCCCAAAAATAAAAACACAAGACAGCCAGGAAACCAGATGTGGAAAAAGACCGAGTCTAGTAATCAGCTATTTCAATAATGCAAATTACAGAACTACAATGGAAAGCACTGGTACTCAGAAAATTGTTTTAGGTAACACAAACTTGAATGTTTGTCAAGAACTTTTAGTTCCTGAATGTAAGAGATTTCACTAGGCAAGTGGTAGTACGGGAAGATCACATGAAAAATGAAGTCGGAAAAAACACTCATGGTAGCAGCTAGTCTGATGTCAACATAAAAATGTAATCACCTGTCAGGCTATTGTGTCCCTTGCTCCGTTTTTGCCAGCCCATGTCATAAGAAAATAAATAAAGTATATGTATGTATGTGTATGTATGTATGCTCCGATCTTTACGTTACCCGACTCGGATTCTTCTTGCCCATCGGTCCAGCATCTTTTTTCGGCTTCAATGGCCTCTGTACACGACTTCTTTGCGACAGCTTCGATCACCAGGCCTACTTCTCTCTCTCTCTGAGATGTTTCTGCAATAAAATTTCTTATGAAAATATGTAAAAAATAATGCTTATTTTCATAGCTGACTATAATAAAACAAACGGTCTTCTGTCACAGCACCTATTAATTCATTACACTGCATCTACATGTAGATTGCCAGCTATAAATTGCATGTATAAGCTTACTTTTACAAGTCTTTGGATCACTACTGGCTAGGAAGTGCGACCCAATGTAATAAGCCCTTCTTATGGTCCATAAAATTAAGGTTTGTAACTGCCTGCTTCATTCCTTTTTAAAAATTGTTATAACTATCTGGTGTAAACCCTTAGGTTACATAACACATTCAACACTTACATGTAAAACAATTCACACTTACTTGAAACAAGACACTTGTCACATGACTCTTGCATGCCATCACTCATGGCACATTTTTTTGCAACAGAGGCTGATGTAAAGGAGTGCTTTCTTTTTCCGGGTTTGCTTGTGTTACTCTCTGTCCTCTTGCCCAGGAGGGCATTTTGAATTTCAGTAGCAAGTGTCTTTGGATCTTTGCTGGAGCATTTATGAAAAGCCTTTTGGGAGTCAAATTGGTTGAAATTCTTGGCTGGAAGCAGGCAAAATTGACTTCTGCCATCCAAGCTGAATTCCACCTACATGTTCAAGTGATAAAGGAACAAAGTTAGCATGACCTTTCAATAGAAAGATACTTAAGTTGGCTACTGATACACATCAATACATTGATGAGCGTGCCTTCAAGCACTATTAGACAGTGATTGGATTGAGCGCCATAATATTTAGTATTAGTGCGTGACATACAAAAACAAAGACCAAACAACAAAAGAATTACTAACTATAGGGGGATAGTAGGAACTAATACGAAGTTGTGGCGTGTACAATTCCACTATCTATTTCACAGGTTTAGTAAAACCACTTTATTAAACATTCAATCTTGTTGATTTTTCCCTCCGTGCATTGTGACAAAAAATACCACGAGTTAATATACTACTTGTAAAATATCCCTTTACAATTTTATTGCTCCTAATCAGTACGGGTAATCAAATGTGACAAGTGAAATAAAGTATGTTTTTGTAAAAATTCTTATAATTTTGATCAAATACAGGTGAAGTTGTTTCTAAATTTCACGAGTATACCATTTGATTAACTTTTAATATCATGGGTACAAATTATGCTCACAATCATGAGTTTTTGACTTGTTTGTTGCATCTAGAAATTTCTGTGCCAAACGTTACCGTGGCAATTTTGTAATTTCAAAAGTGAAATTTTTAGCACAAAAACAACGCCGAAATTTCGCGCCAAAATTGAGGCGTAATTTGTCACCCACGATAATACGTCTTATAATGCACCAATATATAATGCACCAATATATAATGGTAATAGGACTGAGTCCAATTCGGTCTGTAATCATACGAGTGATTAACAAAATGGGACTGCCGCGAAGCGGGAGTCCGATTTGTTAATCACGAATATGATTACAGACTGACTTGGACGACACGATGTCCTGATACCAATTAATCAAAACTATGACAAAATTCGAGAAACGAACAAACCATCGAATGATCGCTGAACGATTAAACGTCGTTATGAATGCTGAAAAACAAAGTGCAACAGCGCGCGCAAAATGACGCGTACTGTCCAATTACAAGCATGACGCGTACACTGTCCAATTAATGCTCAAATCGGGCTGCTGATAGCCAATTACGTTCGAGAATTTTGTTATAGTTTTGATTAAAAATAAAATCAACGTTTTCACTCACTTTAATCAAGTATAACTAACATAGATTACAAATATTGATGTCGAAGAATCTAGGTCAATCAAATGTAAGCTAAGCTTCTCTAAACTTATTTTTTTTTTAAGCCGAGTTCTTCAAATTAAGTAATTCCAACACACACCTCATGCCTCATGTTGTACTCCTTACATTTGTTGCATATTTATCGCGACATTGATAGAACTCCCGTGTACATGTAGCGTAGTATGTTAAACGCTGGTCTGGCAAACCAGGTGACATGGCTTTAATGACTACTGCTGGCCACCACATGCGCCCAGTCCTTGCCGAGGCTATTCCCAAAGTAATTTCCGCTAATGATTGTTTCTTTGAACCATGAAAGGGTAACAATTGTGTTTTTCTACAGAAGAAAACATGTGAGCGGGGAAAAGGTTGAAATCATCGCCGCGACTTTGTCAACAGAGCCTGTAGCCTGCAGAACAGGAGGATTAGCGGAGCAGAAAGCGAAACGAGAGCGAAACGCGATACACGAGTACGGAGCGCGACTTCGTGTATCGCGACCTCGTGTATCGCGACCTCGTGTATCGCGTTTCGCTCTCTGCGCCGCTAATCCGCCTGTTCTGCAGGCTACAGAACCTGCTTGACAGAATCTCGATCTCCACTGTCGAATGTGAAAAACTTATATCCAAAAGGTCACCTCCGGAGAGACTACTTTTTGTAACGGTTTCCCTAAAAAAGTTATTTTGTTTTACAAATCATCGTTTTACAACATTGAAAAGCTGCAATTATGACTGATTTTTTTTATTATAGATTTTTACTGATTGAAAAGCTGTCAATCTCAGGGCGCAACGGAAATACCAAGATCGCTGCGACCTTTTTAACTCCTCATTTTCGTTGTGCTCCTTTTTTAAAGTTGTCTTCAAAGAGCTTATTTCCGTTGAATGCTTCTTGAAGGAAGACTTCAGCTCCGTGAGTTCAGCCGCCAGTCATTGGTTCTCAGTGCACATTTCAACAAGCGTTTGCTGAACTCCTTCAAGCAGAGCCTTAATTTCATTAAGGCTTGTCTCTTCCTCTTCGCTTGGCTCGAAAACATCCTTAGCCTCGTTGTTGTCTGGACCGCCTCGCAAGCCGCCATATTCTACTTCTTGGCGGCGCTGTTTCCCTCTTCGCTTGAACCCCTATCACCTCTTGTGTTTACCGCGCTGGACGAGTTTCTTTTCCTTGCCTGTCATAAAAATCCACCTTTTTTTCAGAAGAGTAGTCACATTTCGGGTTGACTAACTGTCCTGAGTTGAATTTGAGGACGGGAAAAACTGCAGTTCACGGAACACGTCCGACCTCTTCGTCACGCGCATGCTCCCCAGTTCAGTGTTTTTTGTTGAATTTCACTGAGAGTGAATTCCATAATCACAACTTAATGAGACCCTGCTGGTGTGCAATTTAGTGTAAATTATTAAAGCCACACCCACACAGGGGGAGGGGCAGATCTAACAGTGCCAGCGAGGATATTTATATGGGTAACAACACCGCAACCTCCCCTCCCCCCCCCCTTTTGCTGGGTAGATGCAGGAAACAGAAACAAAACACTGATTATGGTGGCAATCTCCCCTAGAGTAGCGGCGTCTCTAGGGGAACCTATGTTACTAAGGGGACCAGAAGAGGGGAGTCCTTCTGGGAGGACAATAGGTCAGATGGTACGATGGCACCATCCTGGAGAGATCCGGACCTATTTCCAAGGGTGGCCATAGCACTTACTGTGGGGCAACGTGCAGCCTAGGTTGCACTTCCCTGCCACGATTGTGTGAGCCCACTGCTAGCCCGATCGAGACGGGGAGGGGGTGAACACAATCACCCAACAGGAAAGAAAAGCAAAGCAGACCTCCATAGTAGTAGGAGGTGTGCCACCCACAGTGAGATACAATGAATGATACATAGTTCTCAATGAATAATACTAACTAGATTCACGACGTTAGAAATCAATAGATAATGGAATTAACTTAAATGATTGACCCTTTCAACCCAGTTGTGTAAGCAGCATTGAAATTAATGTGAGTATTGCTGCTTGGTAGTCAGCCAGGACAAGAAATCGTGCTATGACAAAAGACATGGAATAAAGCCTGTTGGGAATCAAGGTCTTTCAACCGACTAGTGTTAGTAAATAGGGTAAGCCAGTGGAGAGAATTTGCATGTTGATAATAGGGCTGAAAGGGTCCAAACAGATCTTATAGTGGACCTAAGTTACAACATTAGAATTATCCATGACTAATTTCTTAGGGATAGCTAATAGTGTTTCTTGAGAAGTTCTTATGTAGCGTTCATAACAGTCTGAGCTCCAGCGGCCCAGTATCTTGATAAGCCACGAAGGGACACCAGCTCCGGCTGCAGTGGTAGCTACACCAATGCGGAAACTGTGTGTGAAATAATGATCAGCAGGTAGGCCACAGCCTTGCAGTACAGAACGGAGCTCCTTAGTCAGGGAGGCAAGGGAGAGCCACTTGGCATTGGTGAAGGTAAACAAAGGGCCTACAGCTGGTTTACATTGTAGCAGGTAGTCTTTCATGGCAATCAGAGAACAGATAGAGGTGGTGGACCTTGCTATGGTTAAGGTACAGTCTTTGCGAAAGGGGTCAGTTTTGGATTGCTTAATGGTAACAAGCATGTGGTTGGGGGATTCAATGTTAGGGATAAAGGTAATATCCCTTAGACAAAGATGGACAGTAGGGTCAAAACTACTGCTATTACAGGTAAATTCACTTGCACGTAGAAAACCAAAAAGCTAGGGTGAACGCAGCTCACAGCATTATGTGGTCTACATTGTAACTTTAGGGAGGCTGCAAATAATTGTAAATTGAAACCAAAATTTGAATAGTTATGGGGTGGCGAGTTAATTTGGGAGGCATTTGGGACCGTTTAATGCCAGTGAGGACCTTTTGCAGGCGATACATTTTTGATAATTTTAATGGAAAGTTATCTTGCCTATGGAGATCTTGAACTGCAAACAGGTAAAGTTTGATTGTATTGTAGCATATGGCTTTGGCCAGGTGGGCAGCGAAATAAATTAAGGTGATTTCGGATGCCGGGAGAAGAGGGGAAGAGGGACCAATGATACCCTGTAAGAGGCAAAAGGAAATAAAGTGATTCTGGCCGACACCATAGGCTCGACGGGTATTAGAGGCCAGCGAGGCACCAAAGTAGTGGTAGACGGATGCTGTTAAATGGCCATTGCTGATGGAGGGATGATGCAGGAGGTGGGTGAGGCATTGGGAGCCAGAGAGTGGAAGCGATCCATCTGAAAACGGGACAGAGAGTCAGCTATAGAGTTGTCCAGCCCTGGGATATGTTTGGCAGTGAAGGTAAAGTTATGTACTAGGGTCAAAATGGTAATGGAGCGGACCAGATCCATGATCC